GCCATTCAGCTCTCACGTTATTACACAGTGTTGGAGTACATGTTCATTTTCGTGAGTTGAGCTCGGGAGTTTCCTTAGAATTCCTTAGTAGAGTATAGCAACCAGCAGAAATTTCCCGAAATTTCCATAGCATTCATAACCAACACATGTGATTGACCAGATTCACATTACCGCATCATAAAACCAAGCATGTGGGTGCTCAAAGTGCAACTCCATATACGTCTCGTTCACCACAGCATATCCCCTCTCCAACACTGGTGTCACTTCGTTGACAGGGTCTACAGGTACTAGTGCAGGATTGATGCCAGTTGTTGTGGAATCGTGGTGTAATCTAAGGACAAATAATCGTCAATCGCATTTTCGACGTGTATAGAGGTAAGGAGTAATCGGTAACGATGTAAGTACATAAAAAGTATAGATCCATATATGCACTTAATCAACGCGTACATCACTAGACTTATATGCAGCCTTCATACGTTTATACGATGATAGCAACGACACCCACACGATAGGAGACCTCCTACCTACCATATAGGAGCCTACTTGAGCTTATGTGTAGTTCGGACTGGGTTTTCACTAGAATCCACGAAGTGAATGGTGACGATGATGTCGAATTCCCCCCATCCCTCCTCAGTGACCATAAACGGCGTGCTCTCTACCGTCCTTTGAGGCACCGCGAATGTTTCGTGCAGTTGAAAGTCCACTTTTTTAATCACATATCTGCCGATCAAATTCAATGTACACCTCGACACTCTTATATACCATTGATAAATCTATTCGGCGTTAGCACCAGGAAACCACACACGCGAGTAAAAACATCACTTCAGAGATGAGTCTTACACGACTATAGCAAATCACGAAAACCAACAAGGTGATGCGAGTCGAACGGAAACTTCAATTTCACGAACAACACCGTCGTGATTAAAGTAGTCAATTCCACCAACAATGGCATCAACTCCTAACCCCCGATAAGAGGGATCATTCTCGGTAAGCAGGTTTATGAATGGCATAGGTATAAAAGGGGTTTTTGGAATATCACTATTACGATAAGTCCTCCAATGGAGCTCCCACTTGGCCACTTCTGATCTAAAAAGTATATTAATTGGATATACAGTGTCATTGACTTACCAGGGCGTGCCACCGGAAAAGACTTTCGTCCTTCTTGAAGGCGTACGTACCTATCACTATAGGTACGTCTAGGGTGGCACCGATTAATCGATGTGCCATAAAAAGTTACTATCATGGTATGGTTCTGATAGGATCTTCCTCTTCTTAGTGAAACTTGCATTTCCTCAACGCTATCTGGAAAAATCGTACAGTAGACTTGCACTGATTCCTGTTGGTGCTGATGAATGTTTCTGATGCGGTTTGCATACTCTGCTGTGAATTCTGATTTAAACGAAAAACAACAGTGTATTCCCGGGATTAAACCCAACACTCGAAAGTCGACCTTAGGGGAAAACTTGACTATTCGAGAAGATTTTCTGAGCGCGCGAAAGAGTATTCGAAAACGATTGAACTCACGTAGTTAGAAATTGTGAATCATAACTATGGGCAAACCGAAGGAATCTCTCGAGGAGAAGCGTGCTAGGATTTACGAAGAAATCTTGGAAGAGTCCAACAAGCCGCGGTACCGAGGGGAATCTTTAGCCTCCGTGGTTACCTCGCTCAACCTAAAGATATTTATCAGGTTCGGTTACTTCGGCTATACGGCTCCTCTCTGTATCGGTGAGAATTCTGCCTATAAAACCACAAGGCGAAAACGTGAGAGAATTCCGTATCGGATCAACCATGACTATCATTTTTCAGCGAGGTCTGAGGAGGATCCTCCGGACCTGGGTCGGAATCTAATGACCAATCCCTCTAAGAAAGGCACTGGAGTCGACGCTCTCTTTTCTTTCCCGTAGTATTCAACACTGTGCCCAGCCAGTTTGTAACTTATGTAGGGAACCTCTTTGCAATGGGGATCTCTATGTTGACCCCGGTCGCCGATTGGGCAGGAAAAAGGTTCGTAGAGGATTAGGTTAGAGTATCACTTATGCTGAGCTTAGGTCAAAGCAGTCGACCCAGAGGCCCAGTTCAAGCCGGCCGGCTCGGTTAAGGTGCCCCCTAGTGCATACGAATACGTCGAGCATAAAAATGGTGACAAAATTCATATACCGTAAAACGATCAAATCTGATGCCGTTTAGGAATGAGAGACCCCATAGCTCTCCACAATAAGTACAAGGACTATTCCTATCCGCGGAACTTCGTAACGTCACCAGCCAAAATCGGTGGTGGAGGAGTGCTCACACCAGGTAGGCTTGTTGAGCGCTGTGGATCCTATCGACTTGTAAGGTGTCCTATTCTCGCCCTTCCCGGAATATCTGTCGGAGGAGTATGATGCTATGCGGAAAACGAAGGTAGCAGGGGATTCGGGTAATGGATTTTCACTGCCATTGGGCGGTAATATGCCTTACTCGGGGCGCTTCTATATATGTCATCAAAAAACTGGGTTGAAATTTCCGTTTATATCGCAAGTAACGCAGTGTCGCGTAACGCGCGATGCCTTCACGTTATGTACTACGACAGCGTGTTCGCAGTTTTTGTTTAAAATATTCTCGCCGCTAGATTGACATCTTTCGTTTGGCGGATGAAACTTGAACTATTGATACTGGCTATGAAATCGCGCTCGCCGTGAGTTAGCTTTGTGGTGCTTGAGGCTCTGTTATCGGCGATTTCATCAAGTACGACTCTAGTGGTTGTGCTGATGGAATTGTGTACAGAAACCTTTGTCTTTAAAGTGGCCAACTGGTTCTTACCACGCCTTCTCTTCATCGTACTTCAGTTTGAGGAGATGAAACGCAACAAGGAACGGCAAGGCGATCAAATGCCCTTCCGTATCGGAGCTTGCAACGATACGACCAGAGTGAGCTCGAACCAGATGGTGGGGGTACAGACGTATGCTGATCGATCCTCAGATGTTCCAGAAGAATATCGAGATGTATCACTGTGAACAGCCCTACGGGGTCCCGGTAAGTATTGTGAACTTGCTCGTGGGGTAAGAGAAGTCGTTTCAGCGCGTACCAGAGAAGCGCAATATTAATGTGGCTCAACATGATGGGCCATTCAGACCAGCCAACCCTAGCAAGAAGGGTAAAGTAATCGATTGTCTGGATGATAAGGTTGATGCTAGGTCATGCATCTACTATGAGTCCCTTCCCTGAGCACATGCCAGAGCAGCCGATAGAGGCTAAGCGAAAGCCTAGGGATGAAGGGGTGACCACCATTACTTAGTGTACTTGCAGTGGTGAACTGCTCGTGATGTCTTAGGAGGCAGCATGTCCACCGTGGAGACCAAATAGTACCACGAGGGTACCGGCTAACCCGATGCCCTCGGTCGTGCTGAATACTAGGAATCTTAAGACTTCCTTTCCAACAGCTTTCGCTAGACCTAGAGTAAGGTTGATTCGCGTAGGATTAGGAGTTAGTCGCGTCATGCAGATATGATTAAAGTCGAGCCATTGTGTGTATTCCATGATGTGTTGTTACCTCATTTATGGAGTTTGTGGAGTTTGCCAGTTTGAAACACGACGGGGGCTAGCATAGGCCTTTGGAGGCGATGATTACGATATGTACAATGAGGGAAACTACACACCGATGACATAAAATCTCACGCCCTGGGCGCATGTGTTGAAGAATTATAATAATCAAAAGGCCTACATTTTTACACTGTAATCGTACTCTTGCAGTAAGAGGTTACTCAATCAGGCGTACCAAGGAGGCACCATATCTCCGACGGCGTACAGGTTACAACTCTTCGCAACCTCTTTGCTACGCACATGGTCAATATATGCGCGACAATGAGATTGTCAACATATTCGGATGTCAGCTTGAGTAGGCGATAGTGTGGTTGTTAGCTTGTCAAGTTCGTTTCGGACATTTCTGACCATAAATAAAACACAAAATCTTGATTAATTTTGGTGAGGCTATGGATTTTTTGTGTAGTTCTCATTACAGTATTGACAATACTGTATTGTTTTTGTTGTACAGTGGTTGGTTTGGCCTGTTGGAAGGATTACACAACAGAACGCTGTTTTAGCTCATTTATGTGAAGACGAAGTCTCGATAATCGCATCCGAGGTCTACGTGGAGTTGGCCATCTAAATATCTATCTGTTGTCTTTAGGTTGCCGTCCGTCTCTGAGTCTGACTCGTATTATACCTGATGCTGGCACTAACATGAGGGCGTTCATTGGCGCCTGTGTGGACATGACCCTACTGACTGAGTATCACCATGTGCCTGTTCTATTCCTCATAACGCCCGAACTGTTATTGGGTTGTCAATAGTGCCCCTGCATGGGCAGCATCTCGAGAGTATAGGAGGCACATGTTTTTAATGCTTCCAGACCTATATCATTCGATTCTGTGGACATTATTAAAAGTGAGGATACGAGTTATATCGGTTCGGTGTATGTGTTAGTAACACACACACAATGCAGTGTCTCAGTGTGGATGGACTGGACACGGACATATCGTGATATCATCCCATGAGGAATTTGTTGCAAGTCGCCGTAGTGTCGTGGCTGGGAACAGATGTGTGGACTCTTCCGTTTCGTTGTTTAAACAAGAGTTCCATTCGGTTGATACATTCCAACTTATGCGCGATCGCCAGGGGTGCCAGGAGATGACGGAGTAGAGTAGAAGAGTAGTAGAGAGCTGGATCAAAGCTGTCAAAGCGTGGGACCAGACGTAGGGACTTCTACTCGATCCGAAGGTACCCCTGCTAAACCGCGGGTTGGCTCAGCCGGAATCCTCACCACGTAGAGTTCTCACTAACGTAGAACCCAACATCACAATTAGATCTAATGGATTTGCTACTCAATCGCACTAGTGAGACCACTACAT